TGTTCGTAACACGATATTCGGCAAATCGTTTCGATATTCCGTAATGCAGAAGTTTGACGTGTCTCAAGGTAATTATCTATTCTCGTATCGTATACGTGGCAAGGATAAGAAAACTAGTGGCACTTTAAAACAGCAAAGTATTTTCCTATAGAGGGCAATAGCGTAATTTTCCGTTCATGCCCTTGACACGGTTAATTCGCTTGGATAGTCGATAAGATAAGCTGTCTAGAGTTCTAAGGACACACCGAGGATACTAATCTCGTATCGAGGCTCCCCACTACGAAATTCAAAGTCGCTGGTTCTCCTCGCGACTGGTAAACACTCGAAGATGTTTATAACCTCTTTCGTATACGGTCAAGTCTGTCGCAGAGCGGGGATCGCGCGACGCGACGATCAACCAACGATCGATTTTGTTAATACTTAAAGTCGCAGCTAGAGGTCGGCCAACTTGATTACATTTCCTGACACGCTTTCCACTATTTAAATTTTTCTATAATATAACGTAGATTTTAAACGATACCTCCGCGATTCTTTATCTTCCTTGCTTCTCCAATGACTACTTTCACCGCGTATTATTCGTAGTAACATCGAGTCATCCATCGCGGAGCACGAGACTAAGTAAATCGTTTAGAAAATAACTCTAATGACGATCGCGGTGCCGACAAAAAGGGAGGAGCGACAAAGGGAATATAACCGCAGTTTCGCGTCCCACCAGTGGACCTCTTTTTCTTTTCATTCTCTCATTTCCATTCTCTCCGAGCGTCGAACGTGTCTCTTGCACAAACGGCAGAACCGCGCTCGCTCTCTCCGTGCATTATTTTTTCCTTCCACCCTTTTTCTCTTTTTTCTTCCCCCTGTATCGCGGCACCAGGGGTGCAAAAGGACTGGCCGCGGATGTTTTTGCCTTCTCTTGCTCTTCTCCGTTTCTCCACCGCTTCTCCATCGTTTCTCCACCGTGTTTCTTCCCCGTTCTCGCTCTTATTCTTCGCCTCTAGTTTCCCGTCTTCTTTCCTCCAGGCTTTTCCTTTGTCTCCCTGGAAACCTTGCGGTAGTTATGCGACGTTCAGCCCAGCCGCTTGGCTGGTGGGGTTGGGAAAAGGGGAAGGGGGTGACTCGAGGTTGCGTAGGTGGGGGCATCGGGGTTGAGGGTTGAAGGAGGAGAGGATACGGTCCTGAACGTGACTTTTCTTCCGCGACATCTTTGCGATCCCCTTTACGATCGGTTACAACAAGGCGATCCCGAATCGGCGGCTTGGTCTGACCTTAACCCGGCGTGCTTCCCTTGCCACCGAGGGAGAACAACCCCTCGGCCCCGTTTCGAGGGGAGCCGGCCTAATGTTTCCCGAAATTCGTTACTTCATCCCCCGGCACGCCGGTGACCGGTGGTCGGCCCCAGAAATTCCGACGTTTAACTTCGACATTCTTGGAAAATCTCATCCGGCCGCTTCTTGTCTCGGGAAACAGGCGAGGGTGCGTCCGAGGCTAGGGGCGGTTTCGTTTCACGGTTTCGCGAGAAATACGAAGTATAAAGATGCGCGTAATTTATCGCGCGGTAATTCATTCGGTATGGCGGTTAAATTTTCGATCACCCCCGGTCGAGAGTTATTGCCGCACTCGTCTTCGTTAAGATTGCCGCTTCGGGAATATTTTATCAGCCTTTGACGCGGCACGGTAATTTATTTCTAATGTCTTCCTCTTGCGGCGGCCGGGGGTAGAACGCGGACGCGAAAGAGGGAAGAGGAAGGACGAACCAGCGGCGTGATATAAAAGGGCGAGAAAATGCAGGAAGTTATGACAATTATGAGAAGGGGAGGAAGGAACGTCTAGATGTGCGACGGGTCGTGAAATGAAATCGGGACGAGGGACGATCGTTTATAAGTTCGACAGATGGAATTTTTCTTTTCGTCCGTTTCTTCTTTCGCTTCTTTCTCCGATGCGAGCGAGAAACTACGCATCACCCGGTAAATGGGCCTCCTATAATCCAATTAAGGCATCAACCGACAGAGAAAAAGAGGAAAATACGTTCTACCGGTGACATTCGTTTTCTTTTTTCTTTATTTTTTTATTTCCTTTTCTCCCTTTTCCCTTTGCGAGAGGGTGTGTCGTTGAGGGAAACAAAAATCCCGAGGTTCATTCGATTATATCAGCGATTCTTTTTCTTTCCCGGATCTCCTCCCCTTTGTTGTTCGATCACGCGCGATGTCACGTTCTTTGCCACTAAGTCCATCGGGAAATTTTCAAGCGCCGCATGCGGGTCACGAAAGGAAAGATCCTCGTGCTGTATATCTGTGTATACCGTGTTCTAATTAAAAGGAAACTATAAAGTTCGTCCCGTTTCATACTTGTACCTTTTTCCCAGACTTTGTTCCGCCATTTCCGCTCGAATACCTCGCTGTCACGAGATATCATCGAAATTTTTCCCTTTCATCCTGTTCGATGCGTTAATCGAATCTCTCGCGTTATAATTTATTTAGGAATTAGTCAAATTAGCCACGGTTTCGTTTTACCGTCTGTATCAGGTATTCCCACTCGAATCGTTTGCACGTGTATTCGTTGCAACGAAATCGATCCTATAAGTGGCATCGGGACCATTGTTTCGTTTAGCGCTGTTTATCGGTGTCAATCGTACATCAGGTCCAATTGATACGTTATCGAATGCATTCGAGGGCACGAGTTGCATGATTACGGTATATTTTACGCGCTAGCCGCAGCGTCTCCCGTTTAATATCCGGAGTAATTAAAAACAGCATTCCGTATCCAAATGCTAATTACTTTCATTGGTACGAATTTTTCCCCACCGGCTGTATAATCAAGCATTCTCCATAAAGTAATTTCAGCGTTATCAAGTTAATCAGTGACAGAAACCCGAGCAAATGCCCGGGCTGAAATGTTCTTTCATTTGCTGATGGCTAACTACGTAAAGCTGATTATATAACGCAGACTCGGTGTGGCCAAGGGTGGGATAAATTTATGACGACCTTAACGAAACTCAGCTTCTCGGAATACGTAAAATTCGAAGGCTTATTTCTTTGCTTAAACCGTTAGCGAAAGTTCTCTCTCTCTCTTTCTCCCTGACAGAAATGGGTGAAGTAGTAGCAGGTAAAACGCTAACACCCTCTGTTCAGTCTTACTTTGCACCCTCTTGCGCGCAGTTCGGCATCGTCGGTAATTCTGGGATATCGCTTTATCCGAAATTTAATCTCAGGTCAAATCCCCTTATTTACAAAGAAAACATAGGAATCGGGAAATTGCTTCCAGCAGATACCACGGGGATCACTGTGATTATTCGAAGAAGGTTATCGAGCCCTTGGAAACGAGTAATCACTCGCGATGCAAGGATCACATCCAGCCAGTTATTCCGACTCTTTCTCCCCTTTTCGACACGCGAGAGAAAGCGTTCGAATATCATCCCCATTGTACGACCTCTTCTTTTTATATTTCCTTCCATCCCCACGCCCTTGCCCTTGACTTTCTCACCCTTACTGCCTTCGGATACCACCTTATCCCGAGCTTAATTCGCGAAAGGAACGGTCGATGAAGGGCGTGTCTGGATGTCGGAGAAGAGCAGTTAGGAGCAGAGAAAAATTCTATGCTTACGTAAGAAATGTTCTCCCGACGATACGTATTCCACGATTCTCTTAACCGAACTCGAAACCTACGCGGAGTGCGTTTTAACATATTTTCCAAGTTTCCAGCCGAGAAATCGGTGTCCGCCGTATCGTTCGTCCCCCACGATCAACCTTTTGCTATGTTTTTCAATATTCATGGCACAGGTTACATCCCCGCTATTACAAGTTTCGAGCTAACGTTGGTAATGCATATTCGAGCTTATTCACGGCGCTTTAGCCAAGGACTATCCGTAATCAATATTTGCGTGTCGCTTTCACGTGCAGTACTAACTGCTATTGACCGAAATGCCACTCGGCCTGAGCGTCGTTTCCTTCGATAATCACCCTATAAGGATTCCGAAAGGGATCCTCGAATCTATAGGTTTACACTTAATTCTGATACGTTGGCCATTCTGGAATCCCGTTTAGATCGTAACTGCTCCGTGATGCTGGATTTATGAACTCACCGCGCTCCTATTAAATTCAATAATGGCGGCAGGGTGATGATTTACGAACGCTGTAGCCTATGGGATACAACGATCTCGCGTTATAAGATCGATCGACACGGTGTGAAGGGTCGATGGGATTATGGCGAAACATTATATATTATGGGAACAAGGAATCCGTTCGTTTCTCGTCGAAAATCCAACGTCCACGAGTACGCACCGTGGCGTCGTCGGGCACCTACGCGTGAGGGTACGGCACTGGGCGAGCGAAATATTTACCTTAACTCCGGCGTAATTACGTATCGCGTTCTAGTGGCGTGTAATTTAGCCGTTGAATGTTCTTACGTCACGACAGGAGTTTACGAGCTGTGCGTTTCGAGCGACTCGCGCCAGGAAAATCGTAGGGAAAAGGTGGCTCGAGGTAATGGTAGCGGGCCTTGCGAGTTAGGCTAACACTGTGGTTAAGAAACTGCGCGAGAAAGAAGCAAACACTCGCGTTCCCAGCTGCAATTCCCGAAACGTAACCGAATTATTCGCGTTGCGAGGACGAATTGATTTCCATCCAGGTCGGAGATACTAATTTCCCAACTCGTCTGGCAACTCGCTCCGTCAACTTGTCCAGACTTTGTCTACTCGCGATGGTTTACAGAAAGCTCTTCGCGTTGTGTCACAACGAGGCAACGTAACAGAGGGGGTCTCCCGTGAGAACTTTCTACCTGGAAATTCAATTTCCATCGCGAGGCTCGCAGCGATGTCTCGCGACTTGTTTTTCCTCCCTTTCTTTCCGCCGCCCTACTCGCCTGCTTTTTCGCGGATCTCATCTCATCCGGAAGACACGACGGACTATACCTAGACGAGTGATTTTTGGATCCTACCCGATCGCGTGTCAGAGACGTAGAGGATGGATCGCGCAGAGCAGGAGGGATTCAAACGAACTTGTCATGGCCACGTCAAATTGGTTTTTATTGTTTATAAGCAGTCAGAGTACACCGATAATCGTGTTATCTATACAATTGCGTTGTCTCTTCGTTAACTTAACGTTCGCGTACTTATTCCGAGATAAAAGTTCGTTGTGCAACTTCTTCCCGAGTAAACATTAAGGAACACGAATGGCGTCCTTGAGATAACTTTAAAGTTTCGAAATGGTGGCCCAATATCCGTCAACTGGCACTGTCAGCACGAACAAGGATGACAATTGCAACGGGACCTTCGTCTTCGGTGACAATTCCAGCTTGTAGCTATTCAGCAAAGTAGCCAAGCAAGACTTTAATTGCAGCATAGCCATTCTCATTCCCACGCAGATCCTCGGGCCCTCGCCGAAGGGGAGGAACGTCATCTTTTCTACACTTTGCTTCTTGTCTTCGTTAAATCGTTCCGGATCAAAGACGTGTGGATCGATCCAGTAATTCGGGTCGTGATGCAACCCATCGGAGGATATAATGATCTCTGTGCCCGGTTTCGCGCGATAAGTCAGTCCATCCGATCCCTGCAGCTCGAACTCCTCCGTGCAGATTTTGTTCAAGAAACCCAGAGCCGTGTAACGCCTCTGACTCTCGCTGATCACCTGATTCATATACGTCATGTCCTTCAAGGCATCGTACGTCAATACACCGCCGTGCTTCGCATACGTAGATTTCACTTCGTCCCTAAGCTTCTCCTGGATGTCTGGGTGCACGGCCAATTCGTATCCGACGAAACTGAGAGTAACGCTGGACGTTTCCATTCCGTCGAGGTAGAAGGAAACCGCGTGAGCCACAATGGTTTCCTCGTCGAACTTCTCTCCCGTCTTTTCCAGTTCGATCATCAACTGAAGGAAATCGTTCCTGGGCACCTCTTCCTTTTGCCTTAGCTTCAAATTCTCCGACACGATCTGTCTGAAGAATCGGTCTGCGCGTTTCGGCAGCACACTGATTCCGAGTAAACGATTGACAACAGGCATGAAAGACGCTATCATTAACCAAAGTGACTCTTCTAAAATGTCCTTGCCAATTTGATCAAACGCATCTGACGGCTCTGCATCGTCGAAACAGTGTCCCTCGATGCCGAAACCAGCGTTCGCCACCACTTCTGCCGTGAATTTCGTAAACAAGCTTTTCAGGTCGACCTCGTACTTGCCACTCGATTGCAGTCGCCTGTTCACGAAATTTTCGAACTTTTTGCACACTCCATCGACAGCCGCGAAAAGAATCTTCAGTCTCGTGTTGGAGAACGCGTAGGTCAGTCGTTTTCTTCCGTTCGACCATTCCTCGCCGTAATTGAAGAACGGATTTTTCGCCAGCAGAGGATCCACTTCCGGTACGATTTTCATTCCATTTTCGTGGAAGCGAGAGAAATGACTTTGCAGCACCGCTTTTATTAAATTAGGCTCGCGAATCACTAGCACTGGCTTTAGTCCTTTGTAAATCCCGACCATACTGTGATCTCGGTTATCGTCGTATACTTGTCGAACGAAAGAGGACACGTTTGTCTTCCTCAGTATCAGAGGCAACGAGTGTCCCAGCAGCGGGATGTTTCCTTTGGCCGTTGGTATTCCGTGTCTCTTCCAGTGTGTGAATTTAATGTACACGTAAAAACATAGTAACAGAAACGCACCCGCGAGCAGTGTCAAAAACGTAGAAGCCATTTGCCCTTCGCTGAAACGACACCGTTGAAACGTTAGACCGGATCACAACTATTCGAACAACTACAATCAGGAATGCGCAGAATGGAATGATCAACGTATGACAGAGCAATGAAAGTTAAGCTCCGACCTTAAGGCTTCTCTCCCACTCGGCTCGTTAACGCGTGTGTTACGTACTATCAAACTTCTCGCTTATCTTTGTGTTCGTTTTGGAAACGCGTAGTGGTATCGCGTTAAATACGTTGATCTCTTTCTGAATTGCTTTTTTACTCTTACTGTAATAATTCGTATGAAAAGGACAGAACGTTGAACGTTTGAACATCTGAATGCAGTTAGCAGAGTGTCGATAAACCGTATCGACTGTGAATTGCACAAGCGTCGACATAAAATATAAAATTGTAATCGTTATCGACGTGGAAGTATAAATATTTTGTAATTATAGAACATGACGACTATTATTTCTTCTCGATGGTGCATGTATCGATTCGATCATTCGCTATTCGTGTTATTTAATATTAAATTAACATCGAACCACTGGGTTTTCTCATGCAAATGTACCAATTTGGAAGGCGATGCCGTGGTAAAAAATAAATTCGTCCTTCGTATGCGTTTGGCGCGTCTGTCCGCAGGAAGATTGATCATGACAAATGATCTCGAAGCCATCGCGCAGAGGGAAACAGACAGAAGTCGCGTGTAGTAAGAGGGACACGGGGAAACGAAGGAACGGCTGGTTTTCACGAGGACATTCAGCACGGGGACCTCGGGTTGTTTGAAAAATTCAGAAACATCGCTAGCTATGGATTTTATTTTACGATTCGTTCCTAGGTAACGGCAAGGGGGAAATCGATTTCCAGCGTAACTTTATGGTCGAGTGTAATACAAACTGGATGATAGAAGCGTTGCCACCGACAGCTGTCAGACGTATAAAATGCCTTCGACTGTTGCATTCGATGCGCCGCGTATAAAAGTTTTAAAGTCACGAATGTTCTCCTTGGTAGCAAGCAGCGCGTGCGCTTTCAAGCTTGCACCTACGGCGTAACAACGCAAGGTAGATCGCTTTTGCGCCTCTGTTGCGGATTATACGATGATATTCGAGCACCGTATCTCGATGTTAATATCTAAGTTAGATTGACCGGAAAGGAAGGTCGTGTCTGGCAGAGGGGAAGGAGTACACCTGTTACGCTGTTGAATGGCTAGGTCCGCCCTCGCGCAGATATGCATATGCATATCCACACTCGAGAACGTTGTTGGATCACAAACAATTTCTTGCACGTTATCCCCGAACAAATACCCAGCCATTCGCGACACGAAGACGCTCGTGGAACCTTGCTCGGTCTCCTTGTCACCGCAAATAATAATTTCCGAATTAAAAGCTGTTTCTTGATCGCGTTTCGACGCCTTCAGGACCGGCTTATCCTGTTTCTTTCTCCCGACAATATCGAGGTTTGTACCTCTGTCCACCGGTTCAAGGGTGATGCTTAAGGGCTGATGTCCTATCGCTATTCCAGTATCTCGGTGAGACTAACTGGCAGAAAGGGTCGCCAGTGGCGTATAGGTGTGGCGTGGTTACGCGTCTGCTGGCTGATACGTCTACGGTGGTGTGACGCGCGTGGGTGTGCGTGCTCCGTCTTTACCAGAGAAACAGCTACAGAGGGATAACACCGCTTTATGTCCTTTGGAGGTCGTAAAGATACCAGCAGACGTGCTTTCGCCTTTGCCTTCGTCTTTCTCCGTGGAAACACACGAATCCATCGGTTGGTACGCGCAGGAAACGTGTGCGGAAGAGAAAATCAGTCGCGACGAAATTGCCCCATCGACTTGTCTCTTTTCGCGCGTAGAAGCAAGATCGATCGGTTCGTTTATTAGTCGTGGCAGAACGGCGATAAATAAGAGAACGAGGACGAACGGTGTATATTAACCTCTCGGTCGAGACGGAAACGGAATCGAATTTGAGAGTATCCTCTGAGCCAATGTGATCGATTAGAGTCACCATTACCAGAGGGGGAGCGAGACTCGCGAGACGTTGAATTCAGTTCCGCGGCACCCAGACGGAACTCTCTCTCTCTTACTCTTTGTCACCGAGGTGCTTCTCGATACTCTCGTAGGGTATGGTGGACGATGGCGCTTTATCGGAAATACCAGCAGGTCGCGCATTGTGACTGGCCGAGATTAAAGCTATTGTTTTCGCGCTTGCTCGAATCGAATGACCTAAGGGAGTAGGAGAAATAGGAACTCGTTCCGAGCCAGCTTCTGTCCGTTTGTTGCCATCGCGTACCTCCTATACACGGGCACGAGCTTTGCTAATTTCCGGTAATAGAAGTTTGCCTCTTATATCAACGAGCTACTTCTGTTAGTGGCCCTCTCGGCGTGATAGGATTTTATCGATGTTCGAACGGTTATCCGTTTCATCTCGTTATTGTTCGGAAGATTCGTTTTACTTTTGCTCCAGCAGTCGGTCAAGTGGTCGATACTTTGCGAACTGTGATAACATTTGCTGCATAGACCTTCGCCGGTTATTACGAGTTGCATCGCGGGTCGCGTGTAAACCGTGAAAAACGAATAAAACGAGATCCGCTTTCCCATTGAAAGCAGCTTGGTTGCGGAACGAAAGGGCAGCCCACGCGTGCATACCGTTTTCGTAATGGCGTCCCTACGGCTGGATCCCGCGGATTTTTCAACGTTGCAGCCAGACGGGAAAATTCCGTTGAACGAGCACGCCTCGCCGTGGCAATTTCCGTGGGATCGTCAGGCTGCGGATGTCGGTGTCGCTAATTCACGGATTGACAAGAACAGAAATGACTTATTCTCTATAATCTGCCAGGGATCCCTGCACTCTCGCGAAAGTTCCACCGGCTAAATGAACCCCTAAATCACTCAGACACGATTTATTATCGTTATTACGCGTCGTCGCGAGGTGGGAGACTGCCAGAAGCAGAGAAGCGAACAAAAATGGAGAAATAGATAGAGAGCGGGAACGAGAGGGCGAAACAGGATTGGCGTTAGTGTTTACCGTCCGTTCCCGCGGGAATCAACCGTTGGTAGCACTGAATGGCACTATCTGCTTCACCCCGTTCACCGGTTCGCAACGGCAATGATTCAAACCCCCCCTTTTTCTTTTTTTTGACCCACCCTGCCTCGCTGCCCGGTTCCCGTTTGATACGTTACCGGGGTTTAGTTCGCGGTGATGCGATCTCAAAAAATCCTCGTTATAAATCGCGTTAGACGAGGAAATGAAATTTTCCGTCGCAGCGCCATTTGCATTACACGCATTGCCTGCCGATGGCCGCATTTCAGCTGAAAGCTTTGCCACTCCTCGCTCGGAAAGTCCTCCGTCCGCGGGATAAATCCTTTACCGGGTTAGCGTAATACGTATTTAATAACCTCCGCCCTCTGTTACATTCGGAATCACGGTTTTCCGATCTCCGGGTGGGGTGTCCAATTTTCGAGCTACAGCTCCCTGATATTTTCTATAGTCGTTATCCGTGCCGCGCGCGCGTGTGTCGAGAGGCGCTGACGGGGATTACAGAAAAGCGTGCGAGGGAGAAAATCTGTGTACGTGTATATAATCGAACGCAATGGCGGAAGGGGAGGGATGAAGAAAGACAAAGAGGCAGTGCCGGAGGGAGCGAAAGAGGAGGATCCTGGCAGGAACATTGCGAAAGAGAGGGATCCTTTCCAGGGCGATGCCTAGCTCCTAATTGCATGCCAGAGAGTGACTGCATCTCCTCCCTTTTCCCTACTATTTTCACCCTCTCTATTGCACTCTCATTCTTCCTCCCTCGCGCGGTGAGTATTTGCAAGCTACCCACCCCCAGCAGCACGCCACTCCGGAAACGTGGCATAAGAAACGTTATTGCGCCACTCCGTGAAATTTCCTGGTACGACCCTGTCGCTATCCCCTTTCTCCATTCCGTTACCGCCCCTTCACCCTCGGCGACGTGCATTCGGAAAAGGCGGCGAGCAAGTATATTACGTTCCGGGTTGACGTTCTTCCGGTATCCTTTCAACCTGGATGCTAATATCGTCGAACAAGAGTAAAGAAAGAAATACAACGTCGAGAACAAGAACGAAAGCTGCCGGGAGAAGTCGTTTCGTCGTCGTTTCCCAAATTTATCTTCCATACGTGTGCACCCCTATTCCGAGTTCTATACGTTTCGCCCGTTATGAAAACATACTCCCGGCAAAGTATCAATCGTGCTTTATTTTTCCTCCGCTTTTTATCGCGTTACGCACCTTTTATCGCGAATTCCATGTTATCGTACCGTGGATGATTAGTTGGTACAATCGGACGGAAAATCGGAGGGAGAAAATGGGGCCCGGGGTTGCGAAAGAGAACGCGGATGATAGGATTTTAGACGTCGATGTGTATCGAATGTCCATCGAAGAGGATTGCTTTATTACCGTAGCTTTAGTTAAAAAACAATCGAATTCGTCGGACACTCTGCACCATTTCGCTAGTAATATTCCATTTAAGAGGATTAGTTCGCTCGGTAATTTTCAATTTACTGCGTCGTTGCTACCACTGTCCGTTTCAATTAAATTAAGCCCAACTTCTGCCCTGTAGCTCCCCTTTCGAGTTCCCACTGTCTGTCATTATTCGTGTAGCTATTATTTCTTCGTCAAATTTCCATACGTCTCTTCTGTTCCTCTATGATAAACGCGTTCCTGTACGTATTTCGATGGGCTCTGTACACGTGGAGACAGCTATGTGCGATTTCTTGACGTAGTCCAGGGATACCGGTTGCCCTGTACCTGTTGATCCCTTGCTGGGCTCCCGATCCATTTCGTTCGTCCTTCTATACATGGATAGAAGGGGGTAAATAACTGCCGGTACGGATGGGGTGGAATTATGCTAGCTTCTGGGAAAGCAATAAAATAAATCATGCCACACGAGGACACGCGTTGCGGCTCTGTATCCACCTTCCTCTATCCTTCCCACCGTCCTACCTTCGATACGTAGGAGAAAGCTACCGAGCGACCTCTCCCTCGGGAAATCAGAGAAAGATGCACTACGACGTGGAGGACTCTTTTCTCATCCCTCCAACTACTCTTTCTCCTTCTTCCTGCGCCCTGCTCGCGTTCTCTTCTGCTACGCCACACATTTTCGCTTTCCATGGGCACGTG